ACAGGCCTTCCTGTCAAGAATTTTTCTATTTGTTCATTTCGCTAATTTTGTTTCTCTCACCTCTTAATCTCTCTTGTAATGCAGAACCAGCGGCTCGAGCTTTCCTTTGTAGCGCGCCTTTTGAGCGCATTCAATAAATAAATAAATAAATAAATAAATAAATGATATCCATATGTCCCCTGGACAATCGATAGCATCCTCATTTCTGTTTTGTTTTACAATCAACCCCTTATGGTTGGAGCAGGTCCACTTAAAACCCATAACGTAAGTCTTACACTAGATTACTACAAACTGAAGTACTTCACGCGTAGAAATTTCTCAGATGTGGGAAGCTATGAGATGGCACACAGCAAATTTGTTCGGAACGTTCAAATACACACCTTGTCACTTTTGCTGTGGTTACTGGATAGGCTCAAGCACACTTTTGAAGAGCCAGATGAAGATGTAGCGTCTTTTACGAGTCTTGCACCGGGCGAACAGGCCATTGATGGGAGCGTCTGATGGAAAAACAGTAATAAGTGCTGTGATAGTGCTCAAATTAACTCGGATATGGGAGAAAATAAGAGGCTGACTACGAAGATAAGAGCCCAAACACAGCTTGCACTGAAGTGGAGATCATACAAAACGGATAAACATGTACGGAATACGTGGAAGGAACGGCTGAATACTTACATAGTAAGAATTAGGTGATGATGCCAATATCTGATACACACTTACATGGAAAATATCGAATTCACATTTAGGATTTGGATTGCGTTGCAATTTTTAGGATTTGCATATGATACTCATCCCCCTAAAATCAACGATTTACTTCCTTTGCCTATGCCGATTCGGGGCCGGTTCTGAACGCATCGGGCAGTGCGATTTGGAGTGCTCCTCAAAAAAAAATCTAAGGAACTATGGGCCTTAAGTTTTATGTTTTAGTTTTAAGAGCGCAAAGTCGCAGGGGTAGCTAACTTTACTTTCGCTTAAAGATGGACCACAGCAAATGAATATATTTCCCACCTGAGCCTAAAAGTAGAGGAGCACGGGGGCGGGTGAGTTGATCACACAGTGCAAAAAGCCCGAATGGGGTAAGAATCGAGCATTTAATTGACTACTTCAACCCAGGTGCCAATTCCTCCCATAGGGCTAAGAATCAAGCATCTAATTGACTTCTTTAACCCTGGTGCTCCATCCTTCCATGAGGCTGGGCAGAAGAAACCGTAGTTCCTGGCTAAGAAAAGTTCCTAACCGTCATTATGGACTTGCAGACGCCTCTTTCTATGCGGTCTAGCGCTCAGCGTTGTAAAAGAGCGGTGCCCCGCTAAATATTCGCCATGAAATCTAACGACCCTGTGATGAGCGTGGCATTCGATTAACAATGCAAACTTTTGCATTTATCGAAGACAGATAGCTATAGACAGATTAAGGCATGTGACAACTGAATTAATTTCTTACTATGATTGACAGATTGACTAGATAGCAACCATCGAGGCAAATATCTCTCTCATTTATAAAGCAGTAACTTGGTGTGTCGGTTTGCCCGTCTGTCCGACCGGGGACCCTTGCGATATGGATAACCCAGCCCTATTCTACATTTCCTTCCTATATATAAAGCAGTAACTTGGTGGGTAGATTATGACGTAGAGTGAGTACTGCGGAGTGGAGTAATGTGGAGTGAAGAGGGTACTTTAAACTATCATTTCGATCTGCACTGGCATCGTGCTATGTATGTCTATACAAAAATCGGAGGTGATAATGTAGTTGGGAGACCTCCTCTTCTTGCTCAATAAGAGCGCAGCTGAGGGTGTTGGCTAAAACATAAAAGTGCTCAGGTACGTTTCTTAGTCGGGAACATACAGTCTTTGACCTGAGCTTGAGTAGAAGAGTTGGTGGGTGAGTCAATTGAATATTCAGCTCGTATCTCACCTTAGCTTTTTGCACGACGTAATCACCTCCACCAATGCGTTCCTTCCCTCCTCAGGCTACGGTAAAAACTATATTCTTCCGCTCAGATCACTTTTGAGTGATTCTGAGCGGAAGTACAGCAAGTATAGTTTGGCAATACAATATAGCACAGGTAAGGGTAGCTACACCTTCTTTTCTGCACTCAAACACTCAATGATTAATAGAAGCGATGCCCCCTCCCATGAAACTACTTTGTAGAAGCAAGAAATGAAGCCAGGCGTAAGCCGGACGACCCGATGGTTAATAAATATGAGAAAGTCATATAGATAAGAACTATATAACAACAATAACAACAACAACAACAAAAACATCAAGTCAAAACAAGTTACATATGAGAATGATTCAAGAGCGCTTATTCCCAATGACAAGCAGACCTATTTCGCAGTTTCGTTTGCGGCCAGAAAGAGAGGCATCGATTAATTTCGAAGTAAGGCCAATGGTTCAAACTAACTGTCTAGACAAAAGTGGGTTTGTCGCATTGTACTATTATACATACACAAATTGATTGGTCCCGTAAATGCAAAAACGAACTGAGAGATTGAGTTGGCACGCCTACAAAGAAGTATTAGATCGAGTGACCATGAAAAACGACGGTAATTTCACATAATCAGAGAATAAAAACAATTACACACGAACAATAATGAGCTGGCTAGCAGCAGGCTTCAAAATATCGCCGTCGCCGCCAGTAAAGGTGGGTGTAATACGCAAATTTGCAGACTAACAACTTATTTCGGGAAAATAGAAATTAATCATGGATACAACATTATGTATTCTTTTCTTTCTTTTTCTCTTTGTTCCTCTCTTCAGAATCAATCCCGCACTAACGCAGAATTAAGGGCACATCATGTCTGGTTGGGTATAAAGTACTATTCTTATCGGTAATAAAAATAACAGGTCATATATAGGGCGCTGTTTGACTAGCATAAGACTTGTAAAAAACCTTTTCATATACGGTACAGGATTCAGATCAAAGCAGTCCCATGGGCTCAATGTTCGTTGACGTTATCAGTACATCACTGGACACTACTCCCGTTTTAGTCAAACAGGTTTGCATCGAGTTTGTGGTAGGCACTAAATTATAAAGAGTATGACTCGGAATGATATAACAACTGCAATCTTAGAAAAAATCCTGACTGCCAGTTAGCCGAGAAACCCCTTTCCTGATTCTATCACAGGGAGGAAGGGGGGGAGGGTCTAGGTTAGGTTTAGGTCGTCTGGGTGTTTTACTTTTGCCCAAAAGAGCCCTTGGTTCATGAGGGAGATGGTGTACTAAACTGTGAATTAGCATATCTTGCGCATAAGTGAATCAATTCTGTAATCGTCTAAACACCTCCGCTTGCCAGGAGGCAGAGGAATCCACGTGAACCATAGTTGTTGTTGGCTGGTTGCCACTTGATTTTTGATGTTGCTTCTTGGTGTTTGATCATCCCTGCCTACCCAGTAGGGTTTATTTTCCATGGCCGATGAGCTCTACTCACATGTCGAAAGTGACAGCTAAATGTAAATGGTCGGTAGTACCGGAAATAAGCAGAAAATTTTACGAAAAGTGTTTACATACGCTTCTGCAACGCTATGTCGTTCTACATCGTTTTTTGCTTTTGTCTTTTTGTAAGTTCAACATCAAATGTAATAGAATTTCTTATTCAATTACCCGATCCCTTTACCTTAGCTGAATATAACCAGGTCAGTACTTGGTCAAGGGACTTGCTGGACTTTCCTTGCGTCCCTGACATGATAGCGAAAGGTTGGAGCGCAGAGAATAATACTCTGGGGGAAGCTCACGGGGGTGGGGGAGTCCCATTAGTCAGACAAGCACAGTAGTTGAAGACTGTATTAAACGGGAGTTGGACAGACGAGGGCAGAAAAATAGGCGCGGTCGCCACAGTTAAGGGGCCGAGTTCGGGTGGTCTGCAGGCCATTCGGCGGTGCCTAGTAACCTCAACCCATATGTAAGCCAATGACAAAAACCACTCTGACATTTCCTCTAAACTGAGCCTTGTTGGTCAGCTTATGTACGAAACAAGCGCCTCCATTCCTTAGTGATTAGGCGGCCCAATCGATCAGGCTGCTCTATCATCGATCAATGGGACCATGTGTGGAGCACGGGATGGAGGCGCTGACAGCCAAGTGTCCCATTCCTATTTGCCTTGGCACCCATCAGATATTTCTCATTGGCCATAGTGTGGGATTACCAGAAAAGCTGAATTGAAAGTGATACTGTGAATTTCTCATTTTGAAGTGGGATTTTAGGGTTCCTTGCCCATGGGACTCTACAAGATTCTGTAGTTCCAACACATTGTCGTTCTGCATAGTGCTTTCCCTTCCCTCATTTATTTGATTGCTTGACAATTCGACGTTAAGCGCTTACAGTTATATGCTAACGTGAAACTCATTTTGATCGACTTTCTGTTTCTCTCTTCTTGAAAAGGTGCCCGCTTTCGAATTGTCTGATGTTCGCTGGACATCGTAGGGCATTTCCGGGAGTATACATCCTCCAAAACCCACCTATCGTTGTGTTAGTGTTACGGATTAGGTTGCGAGTTGTTTCCTCTTCGAGACTAATCTAGAGTGCGTTGGCACTCTGCCAACGCACTCTCCGCTGTCCACGTTCGACTGCTTATCGATATCGACAGTGACCACGACGACGGGGCCAGACCCGACCAATGGGAGCGTGGGACATTGGCAACGTGCCAACTCGAGGTCTGAATTGCAGCCATTTTTAACACGATTCATGTAGCGAAGGGACTCCTCCCCACCTAGTGCTGTATCTTTCGCCAATGTATAGTTCGGATCCCTGAATCTGTGCTGTGACTATAGATACCTGAACAAATCAGAACATCCGAACCAAAGAGATTTTATTTTCTACGAAACATAAGCCATGAATGAATGTTGTTAAACAACACGAGTAAAGCAACAACAACAACAATGACTGATCATCAACGTGGGATTGTAAAATGGTTGATATGACTTTTCAAATACATTCGACTTGTTCATTTTATAGTAAACAATACTTAGCGATGATGACACCCTCCTACTCCTGAACCCACATGGCGCCGCTATTTTCTATTGGCTTTTCCCCATGTCCCACCTAACATTTCAGATTTTCCCAGTCGGGATTTTACTGCCTACTTTTCTAAGCTAAACTTGTCGGGGTCAGAACATGGAACACAGACGAGCAACCGAGTCAGTTAGATGGTTGGGCGTCAAGAGGGTCGAGCGGCTCTTGCCCATTAACTTTTTTTATGCTCTGGAAAATCCTCTCCTTAACCATTTTGGGAGATTTACTTGTATGAAAGGCAATAGAGCTGAGGGCAGCTTGGACGCTTTCATGGGCACCAGTATAATTCTTTCGACTCTCGCAGCACTCCCAGATTTCTATTTTATTGTTCTTAACGTCAGTCGAATGTCTTTGGGTAGATGTGGGCTTTGAAAGCAATACCGATTGATTGACCAGTGTAGATGGATAGCACCGGGACGCCTAGATGGTTTTGCTCGGGAAACAAGGCCGAGGTGTATTCTTCTAAGGAAACTGACCATTCTTCTTAAAAGCTGGAAGAATCATAAGGAAATATTGAATATCACTCGTATGGAAGATAACCAAAACCTTATAGGTCAATTCAAAACCCAATTAACTTACTAACCGTACTGTAGTGGTCTGGCACAAGGGAGCGATCAATATCGTGGCCACCCATCGATCCTTCCCGCCTTTTACAGCCGACTGACCAAGTTCGGAACTGACCATATACTCGACCATGCTATTTTTGGATTTACATTTGACAGTGGTAGATGTAACTTGTACATGCATCAAGGCTTAGTAAGTGCCACTGAATACGATTTGAGTCCCTAAACAAGCTTTCCTAACAATCGAAATGTAAAGTTACTGAAAGATATTCTTATGGGTTAGTGCCATACTAAAAGCTACTGCATAGTGAGATGATACCTAAATAAACAAAGAATATAAATTGGTATGTACAAACTCGTGTGCTATTCGACCGGCACATTACGCTGCTCCAGTTCCGTAGCTCCATAGCGGGCAAGGGGACTGGGAACTGGCCGTCCGTCTTCGAACACGTTTTGGAGATGATCTGGCAGTCCGGATACTTCCCGAGTATTGGTATTGGTCTCCACAGATTTCGAAGGTTTCCGTCGGAATAGTATTTCGTAGGGAAACACGATCAGAATAAAAGAGGACATGATCAATGCGGTACCACCGATGAAGTTTGCTGTGGGATCCACATGCCGGAAGATCACGTCGATCACTGAAACAAAGTTCTTAGAATCCTTCAAATTATTGTTTAAAGAATCACCACACTATCTAAAGAGGTCAGATTGCTGGTTAAGAATGATGCTTGAAAAAGCTGTTTCTTCCATTGTTTCAGGGTATTCCTCATTTTTTCTCCTTTTCCCACCATATCCTCCCTGATTCTACCGTTTGCTTGACTGTTTGTCTTACTGTCTCACTATTT